AACGAAAAGTGGTTATGTTTACACATGTACAAACGTCATGAGATGTAGGGGTAATATTCTAAATGTGAAGGGGTTCAAATGATTAAGTGACAAACATGAGGGGATCTAGGTATAATTTATCAATTTAGTTTTAGGTGCACATTAATACAGATTTCTATCTTTGAGGGTGCAATTTGAGATTTTTGATTTTTGGAGGAGTATATTGATACAAATTTCTATCTTTGAGGGTGCAAATTGAGATTTTTGATCTTTGGGGGTGTACATTGATACAATTTTCTATCTTTGAGGGTGTAAATTGAGATTTTTAATCTTTGGGGGTGTAAATTGAGATTCAAACGATCTTTCGGGGTGCAAAATGAGATTAACCCTAAATAATTAAATATGTTATAGAAATGAGTGATGTGATTTGACGTTTGAGTCTGATAAAGGGACGATGAGTGAGGTAAGTGATTGATGATAGTTTTAAGGTAGAAAATATGACTGGAATAAAATTCAAACACACTCCTGTTTTATTATATAGATATATCTACACAATAAAGTAACTAATGTTGTTTGTCTTAAATTTTTTGTGTCTTAGATCATTTTCAGGCTTTTGATCGGACAACTATAATTAGACTTAACTGTATGTCAATAATGAAAAAATAAAAAAACCAAAGTCTAATCTAATCATCAATAAAAAAAATAAGTGACCAATAAAGAATAACAAATATTATCAATTACACAAAAAAAAATTCAAAATTAATCTAATCGTCATCACCACTTTCACACAAACAAAAAATACAAATATTCAATCCATAAGTAAAATTTTCGAACTATTATTCATATCAGAATTACATGAACACTTATAGTTTTCAAAAATTTAATTTTTATTGAAAGTGAACAAAACATATTATTGATTGTCATAAATGATTAATTAAAAGAATATAAATTATAAATTTTGTTAATGGCAAAACAACTTATTATTTTATGTTGATTATTTTTTATGTTTAATTTTTATAACTAGATAATTATCAAATATTTTATGTTTAATTTTTATAACTGTGCAGTTAGCAAATATTTAACATTTATGCGTGTTTATGAATATTGATGATTTTTTCGTGTTGGTTAGTAGTATATGCTTTGACAATAGTTTGTTGTTTTTAATTTTTAATGTTAGTGTGGTTTAGTTGTGGATGTATTGTCATTAACAAATTGTTGTTAAATGTTATATATTAAAAGTGTATTGTTTGTACCTTAATTTATGTTGGTTTTGTTTTATTTCTAATTTTACAATAAAATTTTGCATAAAATTAAAAATATTTTTATTAAACACACATAAAATAAATAATATTTATAAGTTTAGTGCTTCTTTTTTCAAGGTTTTCCAGTTTACGTTTGACCCTAGTAACCTCATACACACCATCACTACAACACAAAAATCAGTATCTAAATAAACAATATCACCATTTTTGGGCGTATAAGTTATTTAGTATATCAATTTTGTCAAAATCTTTAGTATAATATTTCATTAAAAACCATTATATACTAACTATATAATTTTTCATCTTTTTTATTACAAACTGATTCATAGTTAGAGTATACTATAAATAAATCTTCTTATCTTGCATCTTAGTACCGGTGGTTGATGTTTAATTCTTACTTGTTATCGATCATTGAAGTTTAAATTGTCTTTATAATCTATGAATAAAAATATTAATTTATTATTCATATAAAAGATAAATTACTACAGTATAAAAACCTATAATTCTCAAAAAAAAAAAAAAAAATTCAAAGCCCAAGCTAATCAGTAATTTAAAAAAAATAGGTGACTAACACAAAAATAAAATAAAATAAGATATCAATTGCACTAACAAAAAATATTCAAAACCAATTGAATCGTTATGTTAAATTATTTAAACATCCTATTGTTGTGTATTGAAATTTTATAAGTAATTAACATAGTGTCTTCAAACATGGACAATGACTAATATTCAATATTTCAGAGATTAAACTTATACAATTAAAATATTGGGAATTAAAATAATATAAATAAAATATTAAAGATTAAAATGAAATAAATTTCATAGGGGATTTCTAGTGTCATTAATCTTAAAAATTAAAAATCTCTTAAGAATTTCTAGTGTTTTGAATTCATTGTAAGCCGTTTGATTTTTCGAAGTATGCAAATTGGACGGTTGGGATATAATTGGAAAAAAAAAAGTGTATTGGTCGGGTGACTTGCGGAAATGCTATGGATGTTTCGAGAATGGCCTCGAATGTGGCATGCCCTCCTTATTTGTAATTTAGTCAGACAGATTTATGAGGGTAATGTTGTCTTTTTGAGTCGCACCCGATTTCCTAAACTTTCTATGACAAATAAAGCGGGTGGAAAAAGAAGGCGTCGTAATTATTTTTTTGACATTAATACCCCTATTTCAATTTTATTTACATTGAAAACAACCTTCTTAATTTCTTATTTTGGTTGCTTAGCGTACAAGTTGGAGGATATATTAGTCATTACACTAAAAACCATCGTCATTATAAAGACTTTTGTCCAAACGAAGCCTTATAAATAAGCGATAGTTTCACATTGTCGCATTATATAATCGTTCTTTTTTTTCTTGACTCTGTAGACACAAACTACAAAGACGAAGAAATTTTCAACACAAACTCCTAGGGTTCGACTCGAAGAGAGAAAGAGAGACAGAGAGAGAAATGGGTTCTGAAGGGAACAAGATCAGCGATGACATGGAGTTCCAACCATCGGAGCCGGCACTATGCGCTAAGGGTTGTGGCTTTTTCGGCACGGCGGCGACGATGAATCTATGTTCCAAGTGTTACAGGGATTTACGAAACAACGAACAGCAAGCAGCTTCGGCTATGGCGGCTATGGGGAAACTGGTGATTCAGAATCAGAATCAATCGGCTGTTCCTGATGGGATTAATTTACAGACCACCGTGGGGACGTCGACTTCTGTGGCTGAATCATTGCCGTTGGTTGAGAGTGGTGAACCTATGATGGCGAATAGGTGTTTGAGTTGTAATAAGAAGGTGGGGGTTTTTGGGTTCCTGTGTAGGTGCGGAAAGACTTTCTGTGGGACCCATAGGTACCCCGAAAAGCACGAGTGCTCGATCGATTACAAGGGGCTTGGAAAGGAAGCCATTGCCAAGGCTAATCCGCTGGTCAAGGGTGATAGGGTACAGAGGTTCTGAACTGAACCCGGTTTGGATTTGAACTTGTTTTTTGGTCTTCTGATTTCATGGGTTTAGTTTGTTTAAGAGAGAAAGAAGAAGGGGGGGAGGGTCGAGTTAGGAAAGTGGTTTGGGCATGAAATTATTTGGAGGTTTATGGTAGAAACAGGCTGGATTGGGTTGAGGGAGGAGGGTGGATTGGATTCTAGAATAAAGTGAAACATATTATTGTTGAAGTTGGTGGTTGCAGCCTTCGCTTTTTAAAGGTTTTGGCTTTTCTTGCTTTTTGTTTACTGCTAATTATTGGGCTTACCTGCTGCTACTTTGGTATGAACATGACTATAATTTGTATGCTTGAGGAAGACATAAAGCTTGATTGCCCTCTTTTTTTTTTAATCTTAAAGAGGACAGAAAAGATAGAATTTTGGTAGCAAGTATGTGCTTCAAGTAATAAGGGTTATGCATATTCTAAGCAACCTTCCTAATTAACACAATTATATATGACATAAATATTACTTTTAGATGGGGATAAAGATAGAATTTTGCTAGCAGATTTCTACTTTTAAGTGATTAAGGTTTGTATGTTTGGTTTGTGTTGGTTTTGGTTGACTTTGGTTCTGGTTTGCAATCTTTAGCCATGCACTTGTTACTGATTTCGTGCTCTGCTAAAAATTTTGGAATTGAAAACTAAATTTGGTTATTCATGATAATTTCGTAAGGGGAATATAATCCAGTAACATAAAAACAGATTACTTGCTAATTAGTTTCACATTGCAAATCGAAGTTTGTTTTGTAAAAGGTGTCAATCTGCCATTAAGGGTGTTAAACGTGTTGGATTAAACGGTTACGTATCGGGTTAAATCGGTGACGGGTGAAAAATTTTAACACGAATACAAATCGTTTAATAAACGAGTAACACGACTCGTTTAACCCGTTTAATTTTAATTTATTATTATATTTTTTCTAACTCACTAAATCAAAAAATAAAATAAAATTATGTGGCTATCACAAATATATATATTTTATGTGGCTGTCATTAAAAAAGTAATTTGTCTAATTTTTTAAAATAATTATTAATTTATTATTATCTTAATTTTATTTAAATGGATTGACATAACTCACCCAAACATGATTTATTTATTAAATGTAATAAACAAGTTAATCCGTTTATTACTCAAATCTCTTAAAGTCTCACTTAAATTCACTTATGTGACACTTTGACTAGCCTATGAGCCACCACAGTGGGAATCATTAAAGAATATAGGTGAATGTGGAAAAACTTTTGAGTGAGTTATAAATATGTACACACATCCAATAAAAGCTGGCATAATATTAGAATACTGGTCATTATCCGTGGCCGAAGCTGAAAGGATGATAGAACAAAAAATTCGAATCTTAAAAAATTGATATCACTATATTAAATAATAATTTTTCTTTCTTTAATTTATTTGATTAAATCATTCAAAATTTATTTTTACTTATTATTTTCTTATAAATATTGACAAAATTTTCTTAAAATATGAAATTGGATAAATTTTTTTAACAGATCTATACTATCGTGTATGAATAATATCTGAATGGTTGAGTATGTGATACAAATTAGTGATGTGATGAATTTGGGGGGAAAATGTATAGCAGCATAGGGGATAAAATTCAACTTTCTATGTGTTTTATTATATAGATTTGTATAGATATAAGAGAAAATTTTATCTAGATCCCCTTTAGTTAGGCCTAAATTCAATGACACCTTCTTCCGATTTTAAAATTTCGTTGTCAATCTCTGTTAGTGATTCTCAGGTTACAACGTTAATGACAATGGTTGACTTATAGAAATATCCCCAAATATTTTATAGGGTAAATTTTATCCACATCCTTATAAATAAGTTTAACTTTAATAATACCCTCGTAAATAGACCTAACTTTAACAATACCCTCTCTTGATTTTGAAATTTCAATGCATTCCTTTTTTTTTTTTTTTTTTT